TTCAATCATTCAATTAATCAATCATTCAATCATTCAATCAATCATTCAATCAATTAATATTTTTCAATCATTCAATCAATCATTCAATCAATTAATATTTATATATATATATATATATATATATATATATATATATATATATATATATATATACCTATATATATAGACTCACAGTTGAAGTGATTTTTAATTTTGAGGGTTCCCTTCGGCAGCTGGAGTGATTCAACCTGAAGGGTGAACAGACATGTATTGCATTTACTGGGACAAGGAGTGGTGCCAAATCTGGTGGTGGTAGTGGGTTGCAGGCGGCTGCGAACTTAAAGGTCGCTAAGATTGCGTTCCCTTCTATAAACAACCAAAGGATTCTGTTGAAATAAATGGCCTAAACTGGGGTCTGACTTGAGGATAGAATAATTTTTTATAATGATATTTTTAGCCAAAACCGAATGAGGATGGTAGGGTAAGATGAGTTTAGTTCTATCTGACTTTTGTTTTGGAAATTGTTGAAGGGAGGCTTGGTGGTCAACAGTTCTTATGCAGTGTAGTGCTGACTGGAGTATATGCTCCGGGTATTAAACACTTCTTTAATGTGAACCCCCATCCCTCTATTGACAGTAATACCATACTTAGATTAACCGAGTTAGTTCTCAACCTCAACTCGTTCGAGTTCGATGGTCAATTCTTTGACCAAATAAGTGGGGTAGCTATGGGAACTTAAATGGGTCCTCGTAATGCGTGTCTCTTCATGGGTTACCTGGAGGGTCAAATCCAGGAAAAATACACTGGCAGAATCCCAGGTTTTTATCGGCGGTACATTGATGATGGGTTAGGTATCACAGAGATTGCAGAAGAAGAACTGCAAGATTTCATATCATTCTGCAACCACTACCACCCAAACATTAAATTTACCTCTGAAATTTCAGGCAGTTCTGTTAACTTCCTGGATATGACAATATCGCTTAACACAACCAACGTTGGGACGACCGTATTCTATAAATCAACTGACTCACATTCATATTTGCTTTACTCTTCGTCACACCCCCGGCCTGCAAAAATTCTATACCATTCTCACAATTATTAAGACTACGACGTATTTGTCAAGATGATGACGACTTTCGGATCAAGGCCCATGAGCTATTACAGTTCTTCCGACTCCGGTCATACCCGGAGCATATACTCCAGTCAGCACTACACCGCATAAGAACTGTTGACCACCAAGCCTCCCTTCAACAATTTCCAAAACAAAAGTCAGATAGAACTAAACTCATCTTACCCTACCATCCTCATTCGGTTTTGGCTAAAAATATCATTATAAAAATTATTCTATCCTCAAGTCAGACCCCCATTTAGGCCATTTATTTCAACAGAATCCTTTGGTTGTTTATAGAAGGGAACGCAATCTTAGCGACCTTTTAGTTCGCAGCCGCCTGCCACCCACTACCACCACCAGATTTGGCACCACTCCTTGTCCCCATAAATGCAATACCTGTCATTTCACCCTTCAGATTGAATCACTCCAGCTGCCGAAGGGAACCCTCAAAATTAAAAACCACTACTGCAAGGCCAACTACAACTACTACACCACCAACTACAACAACTACACAAACTACAACTACCGCCAGACCTACAACTAGAACAACTACACGACTTACTACCACAACTGCACAATCTACCACCACTACCACACCAACAACTAGAACAACTAAACCAACAATTACCGTAACTGTTACACCTAGAGTGGCAACCACCACTGCTAGAAAAACCACAACTACAAGAAAAACAACCACGACAACTAAAAAAACCATCACGAAAAAATGGAGAGACACAAGAAGAGACAGACACCACGGCTTTGATAAACTGAGTAAGCTCTATATTTTTTTTAACTCGGAATTTCAATAGAGTTTCTGGAAAACCAGACGCAAAACAAAAATTATTCGTGTAAAACTGATTCTAAAATATACTGATTTAGAGTTCTATTTTCGGATATTCTATAATATGCTATAATTAAATTATTTGTTTCTGTTCAGGAAAAAAGTACATGAAGCACAGCGGAGAGATGTTTCCGCATCAGTAAGTTTTCTAAGCTAAACTAGATACGCCGTATTTGTATTTTAATGATAATAAAAAAAAAAAACAATTTATAAATCTAAAATTTAATTTCTTTCTGAGAATCGCAGCATTGACATAATATTTCAGTTCGTATTATGTCCTTAATGTAAATGTTATAGAGCAATAATCTGCAGATGTTTCATGTTTTATCATTATATAAGTGTGTATTATTTCATTTTAATATGTATTGTAATGTTTTCTCTTTTATTTATTTTGTTTCAGCTAAATGAAGTGAATCAAAAGCCATCAATCAGACACGTCTTCTAGTATTTATATAGTCGCCAAGTTGATCAACAGTCATTAAATATTCAATGTAATTAATTCATTATGTTCATTAGTTTCTTTTCATTATAAAAACATATTGAGGTTTTAATAAATAGTAATTAATATAGAGAAGTTTTTTTTAATGAAAAATGATGTTAAAAACATGACACTTTGTAATAAATTAGTCCCAATAGTAATACTAACTAAAAATATTTGAATGTTTACGCTATTATGAACAAAACACCAACCTTTTAAATGTAAATATTTAGATTAATTAAAACCCAAGAGCCTCCCATATTGTTGAGTTGCATTGATTTTTTTTAAACGATTTAATACATGTGGGTGAGGTGGTGTGAATGTGAAAGAGTGCAAGAATACCATACTTTATGTCGTGAGTTCGGATCCCGGACCCACGTCTGTAGTACTTCCTAGTACCAGTGTGTACATAACTTACGTTCGGGAAAGCAAAGGCTGTTAGGTAGTAACTTACCTTATTATACCTCATATACCGAGGTCACAGAAATTCATAAACTTTTCATCCATACAATGAATGCCAAGTCCGAATCTTACTAACGGTGTAAAATAATTACTGAAATAATGTGTTATATTTCTATGTTAGGCTGGTCAGGATATTACTTTACTTGTGTTTAAGTAACTGAATTGATCTGAAGATATACACAACACAACCAAACTTTGAATTAAAAAAAATCTTGTATCTAGAAGATTCAAACCCAATTTGTAAATACTGATTTGATCTCTACTCAAATATTGCCGTGTAAAAAAATAGGATTCGGCATGCTAAATTTAGATGCATTTTAGAACATTGTTTCTATTATAAGAGAATTATTAGAAAATACAGGATAAGTTGTTGCACTGAATGTAAATAGATCTGCACTAAAGATTTGGCCAACTATAGTCCTCCACCACTAAAAAAATTTGGCCAACTACACTCCTCCACCACTAAAAAAGATTTGGCCAACTACACTCCTCCACCGCTAAATTATTGGCCGACTACAATTGTCCACCGCTAAATCATTTGCTAACTAGAGTACTCGAATAGCAAATATTTGGCCAACAAGTGTGCTCCACCACTAACGTATTGGCCAAGTGTCCTCCACCACAAAAAAAAGATGTAGCCAACTAAAGTCCTCCGTCACTAAAAAAAGATTTGGCCAACTTCTCCACCACTAAATTATTGGCCCACTACAGTCATCCATCTCTGAAATATTGGCCAACAACAGCTCTACTCACCCAATAAGCTTTATGTTCAAACGTGCAAACAAATACATTTAAAAACAAATTTAAAAAAAAACAACAAATAATTTAAAACAATAATTAAACTTAATTTCTGTAATAAACGAATTCGACATTCATAAATGTTTTACACATTTTACACAACGACAAATGCTAATGCAACCTAGAATAAATTTCAAAACATTGAAATATGTATAAGAAAACAGTTTTGCGATACAATTACAACTGGTTTAAAAAAAATATCTGTTTGATTAAAAAAGGAATAGAAGCATACTGTATTTAAACAGGTGTTCAAAAACACAAACGTTTATAATTATTTAGTTCTAATATATGAGTATTAAATAAAAAGTTTACCCATACGCGTGTTAAAAAACAATGGTAACAATATTTACATCTCTAATCTTCAAGACAATGTTTTTCTTTAACACAAAATTTGTTTTTGAGAACTTGTTTAAGTAGTTTAAAAAGTGTTATCTTTAAAAACATTCATTTTCAAGTTTAAAATAAGTCAAGCCATCTTTGCGGGCAGTTTTAATTAAACCTTGAGCTATTAAAGATAGATACGTTCACAGAAAACGGCAACGGATTGACCACACTTAACGGAACGTAAAATTTAAAAAAAAAAATGTCAATATACCTGGACAAATCAAAGCAAAAATAATGGTGGAATAGTAAGCGAGGGGTAAACGGAAAACTTCTTGTCTGTTCTAAAAACTTTAATTTAATTCACCTATGTATGTTTGATGTATGGCTTTCTTTCAGTCTGTGGGTGCGTGTCAAATCGTAAAACTGTTAGCGTTTGAAGTGTTCAGTGGCCTGTTTTGTCAAAACCTTAACATTTATATTATAGCGTTAGAAGTGTTCAGTGGCCTGTTTTGTAAAAACCTTAACATTTATAGCGTTGGAAGTGTTCATTGGCCTGTTTTGTAAAAACCTTAACATTTATAGCGTTGGAAGTGTTCAGTGGCCTGTTTTGTAAAAACCTTAACATTTATAGCGTTGGAAGTGTTCAGTGGCCTGTTTTGTAAAAACCTTAACATTTATAGCGTTGGAAGTGTTCAGTGGCCTGTTTTGTAAAAACCTTAACATTTATAGCGTTGGAAGTGTTCAGTGGCCAGTTTTGTCGAATCATGAAATTGTTAGCTGTTGGAAGTGTTCAGTGGCCTGTTTTGTAAAAACCTTAACATTTATAGCGTTGGAAGTGTTCAGTGGCCAGTTTTGTCGAATCATGAAATTGTTAGCTGTTGGAAGTGTTCAGTGGCCTGTTTTGTAAAAACCTTAACATTTATAGCGTTGGAAGTGTTCAGTGGCCTGTTTTGTAAAAACCTTAACATTTATAGCGTTGGAAGTGTTCAGTGGCCTGTTTTGTCGAATCATGAAATTGTTAGCTGTTGGAAGTGTTCAGTGGCCTGTTTTTCCATCATTTTTCTCCACGTTTTTCCCGTGGAGGTCAGCGGAAATGATTCAGTGAAAAAGAATTTTTCCGGAACCTCTTCTGGGGAGATGTGGGTATCGAAGTACATCTGGTTACAAAACGTATGCAGATCCTGTTCTGTCAGGTTTGCAGATTTCTCCCTGACAACACAAACACACAGTTCATTGACCTTGACTGGGTGCGGAATTCCTGGGGGTATTGTGATGCCTTTGTTAATATCGTCTTAACACGTACATTTAAACGTTAATATAATAATTTAAATATCCCTAATTGGAACAGTTTATCCGGGATAAAGAAAAAATGAATAAATCACATATATTTGGTGCAGAAGAAAGTAATTAAAAAAATCGAATTGCTAGTAGAAATACTACTAAATTTGGTAGGAGAGATAATACTAAATTTGGTAGTAAACATACTACTAGATTTGGTAGTGATGATACCAACATTGGCGAACATGAATTTGATACTTCAGTTAACGAAACGAATGTAACATATTGGAAAGGAAGAAATTAAGTCATATATTAGATTTGCAGGTAGAAATAGGATCAACTACTAGATTTAGTAAAGGTGATATCACCATTAGCAAACATGAATTTGACAGCCCAGTGTAAGAAACACATGTAACATACCTACAACGATGACTGAGGCGACCCCCGGGCAATTTCATGATCCACTCCTCCAGCCACTGGGGGTGGACCACAGCAGAGCCAGACGTGATGAAATCTGAAGTCCTCCCAATGACGACCAGACCGCGAGATTCACTAATGGAAAATCACAAATAATTTTTTGCTGGCTAAAATTAACTTCTTAATTTAAGAAGTAAACATAGGTTGTTTAAATACACATATACAAATATATAAATACTCATATACTTACGTATATAAATATTGTACACACATTCACATATAAACATAAATATATGCACACATTTAAATTTAAATTATATTCAGACATACTCATACCCACATACACACCTACATAACCCTTCATACTGAGCATTATTTAATACTCGAACACTTAACACTGCTCGTATTTATCGAGAATTGCTTGCTCTCGTGAAATACATTTGCTGTAATGAAACTAGGACCTACTCGACATATCCCATATCACTTGAATCGAACCATCCGTCTTCTGTAAAGGCGCCACTGGTGGAAGAATCAACACCCTTGTAATGACGCAAGACCGTCCCACCTGAAACAAATACGGGGTAGGGTGAATTTCACATACATAATACTTTTTGTAAAAGTGGCCAAGTTTTAAAATCCTTTAATGATATGTCAGCACCAGTTTGACTTGAATTGTCCTGTTTTAAGAACTGTTTTTTTTTTCAGACTATTTATTATTTCAATATAGAAACAATAATTATATCAGACATGTTTTGATCATTAAACGGTTGTTTCTATTTACATCATACGAAACTCCAACGGCTAGCCTGTTTTTTTTTTCTTTCTTTACGGACTTCATCGGTTCAGGAGTTGTCTCCCATTAGCCAGGCAGGCCTCAACACGGCAAATTTCGACTAACTGGCTTAGATAACGATATGATTACCGTGTATCCGTCGCTTATTTTGGTCGACCTGGTTTTAAATTTTTTTTCGAATGCAAGCATAGTGACTCATTGAAAACCTGGTAAAAAGTTCAATAAATTGGTATTTAATTATCGTAAACTTAGATAACGTGCATATATTATACATTTACTTACCTTTAAACAGCAATTTCCCAGCGCGGTTTTTGGACGTGATTACCGTATTAGTTTTCTCGTCCACAATCTTCATTTGGGCATTGCCTACCAGACGATCACCGGTGTAGCAATCCTTCACTGTGTCCTGGTGATACATACAAATAGTACCACTGGTTTACGACTTCTAACCCGAAAGTTTTGATTTCGGATACAGGAACAGAGTCTCTTGAACGTCCCTGTGTCGATATAGCTCTGATGTGTACCTGACTCGCGTGAGGCCGCTGTGCTTAAGGCTGACCACACTATCCCTAACTATACCGAGATCACTAAAACAGAATAACTCCACTTCACCCACCCCATGTGTTTTGGGCGCAGACGAGAAAATAGTATAATGATCATAGGCAGATACCACCCGATGTTTTTACAAATACCTTAATAGTCCTATAATCATATTACACTTCATATTAGGAAAGATATAAGTCCTTTTCGATAACAAACATCTACATACAGTCACATATCTTTGTTAGAATATTATATTTCTTTTTCTAGAAACACATTGGACATCTTTGGTTAAGATATTTTCTGACAATAATTATCACTCGATTGGTAATAAAGAAGTAAATAATCCTCTTTAGATCAGGATGATGAAGTAGAGTTCTTATGTCTCTTGACCTCGGCATAGAAAGTGAAGGTGTGGCCAGCATCTAACCCAGCCACCTTTACTTTCCCTCACATGAGTTTTGGAACCCATCAGTTGGACTCAGAGACATTCTTCTGACGGACCCGGATTTCAACTCTAAACTTTCAGGTAAGCAAACGAGCACTCTGCCTCCTAGGCCTAAGCCACGTTGTCCATTACTAGATGGAAAACGTTGGCAAAAAACCCAATGAATATTCTTCTGATTCTTCTCTCACCTTCATATCTCTTGTGATCAGACCAATGACAGTGTACTCATGTCTGTAGACCCATACATCGCCATGCACTCGTCACAAATGATGTCCAGGAGTTCAAACACACACTAATTATTATTTAAAGAAAATTATAATAAAACGTATACATGCATTAGTTGCAAGTCAGGTTAAAAATAAACACTCTAATTTATAAAAGCGTTTATAACAACGTATAGGTTGAAATCATCTACATAGGCCATACATTTTGTAAATTTTTTTTATCAGGACCTGTCTAATATTAAAAACTCCTCATTCTTATTCTTTACCCTTTTGATGGGCTGTGCTCCGCTAATTATTGTCTTTATTCGCCTTGTAACTGTACCATTATCAAAAGCCTGATTTCGAAAAGTAATTGCAAAATTATGTTAAAGAGTTTTAACTAAGTAAACAATACACATAATTTAAATTGCTGAGCATATTTAAGGGTTGTCTAATGGCTGACTGACAGCTGACTAGCCACTAACTGTCTAACTATTGGTTGACTGACTATTGGCGGACCAATGACTGACTGACCGCTGTCTGACTGACCACTTGCAGAATAACCACTGACTACTAGCTGACTGGCTGACCACTGGCTTACTTACCACTGACAGACTGACGACTGACCACTCACTGACTGACCACTGAGCATTGACACTGACAGACTGACCACTGACCACTGACTCACTCACCACTAACTGACTGACTACTGACCACTGACTGACTGACCCTGATCACAATCTCACTGACTCACTGACTACTGAGTGACTGACCACTGACCACTGACCACTGACCATTGACCATTGACCACTGACCACTGACCATTAACCACTAATCACTGAACACTGACTGACTCACTAACTCACCACTGACAACAGACCCCTGACTGACTGCCCACTAAATGACTAACTGACATTCACTGACTGACCACAGACAAATGACTGACCGCCTACTGACTGACTGACTAATGACTGACTACTTACTGACTGACATCTGGCTTATAACAGTAAATGTTATTCTTAATGACATTTGCATAACTTTTTTACGCGGTAAATCATTTTACAAATGCTAGGTCCCTAAGCTGGTCAAACCCTAACCTTGCAGTTCTGCCTGTGTGTTCTTGGCACCACCTTTGAGTAGTCGGTGCTGCCGCAAGTCAAGAAAATGTAAGCCTCTTCATCAGCTGTGACGGAAGCAACATAGAACTCTTCATCAGCAAGACCAGCGAGAAAAGATGTGTGATCTTCATGGCTGTTTAACTCATACATAATCAGGCGCTTCAAACTGGGTACTTGTTTACACTGTACAGTGTGCACGCTTTCTGCGCTGTAAGGATACAAACTACATAAGGTTAAAATATGGTATGTTAAAGGGAAAAAAATTCGCTTTTTTAATGTACAGATAAACTATTTGCACGTATTTATGGCTTGTTTTGACAAATAATTTCAGTTTTCCTGAACACCTGCTGAAGGTAAATAAAAGACAGACAATTTACAACTTGACTTGTCACTGCCCCATCTTTTATGATTTTTTCTCAGTAGGAGGTGGAGGGGGGGGGGCATTTTAAGTGTCAAACCTGTCTAGGAGATCAAAAGCGAGAGATGCGGGCTACGCTCACACGTTTTGTACAACCCTTCTTGAGAGTCAGGTAAGTTGTAGGAAGAAAGGGGACATATGGTGGGCACTTATACTTAATTTGTGTCACAATAACCTTACATCATAAAGGCTTTTAGGGTTTACGGCAAGTGGTAGATAAAAGTGGAGGTGGATGGTTGAGCGCCGAGGCGTAGCTACACTTCCTGGTGCCAGGGGTGAACTTTCAATCTTGTGACCCTTATATGTATGTATATATATATATATATATATATATATATATATATATATATATATATATATATATATATATGTGTGTGTGTGTGTGTGTGTGTGTGTTTGTGTGTGTGTGTGTGAGAGAGCGACAGTCCGGAACAGATTTAGTAGTAACTGTAAAAAAAGTCAGTGATGCGAGAACCCGTTCTAAGAACTTGTTTCAGGAAGGTGGGTGGGGGGGGGGGTTCCTTTTTCCCCATACAAAACTCGCAAGGATTTGTTCTGGGTTGGCGAGTAAATAACTCGTTTAACACGTAGAAAATAAACTAATTGTAATTAAACGTATTGTATAACATTAAAAAAAGACGAAATAAACCATGATGTTATTTGATGCAATTTAAAGTATCTCTTCTTAGAAGATTTGCCTTATGCTGTTCAGTCCTGTAATAATCAAGGTATCTTGATTTACTAGGCCTTTCAACCTAAAAATAGTTCAGTTTTAAGTACTATAAAGATCAGCAGGTTGTTAATTACAGTGTAATTAGTTTATCATAACAAATTTTTTGACTGTATATTTTTATTTCTCATTTCGTTAGTCAACTGTTCTGAACAGACCAACGTTGATTATTTAACAGTTTAGAATTATGAATTACTAAATAAAACATAGATAAAGCAAATATAGATATGTAGATTAAAAACGAATGGTATACCTTATAATAAGTATAAATACAACTAGTTTAGCTTTAGAAGTTCCTAATACTATTTTGCTCTGTTGACAAGAATTCGTCGTTTTTATGTTTTTCGATTTTTTGCATGATTACAATATTTCCTCTATACGAGAAAGTAAAACAAATCAGTATGTCTTCTTAATTATCTACCATCTTCTCTACGAAATATTGATTGTTTAGTTTTTTAACATTAATATTAAGGTAATATCATTGATAATATTAATATAATACAAGATTATGTTTTTATTGTTTGAATTTATACTTAGTAACAATTAGTTTTTAATTGAAATGAAAATGGGATTTTCCTTGGATTAAAGGGAGTTAACTTCGGTAAACGCTTGATTTAAAATGGATTATCTACCTTTAAAGAGTAATCATGTTAAGCGTAGTATATAGAGGCACATCGACTATAGTGTACAATTAAAATGACTATAAAACCAAGATTGTTTCCCTTGGAATATGAATCCTTATTCGGCAGCGAAATGTTGTATATTAGTTACTAGGTCCCGGTTAACCTATTACAAAACTTGATTAAATGAAATTTTCCCTAGATCAGTGGTTCCCAAACTTTCTCGAGTGGTGACCACCTTTTATAAAAAGTAAGTGACCCGCGACCCCCACAGAAATAAAAAGTCAAAATTCGTTAGGAAATTAATAAGCACTAAAATACGATTTTCTGTAGAATTTCAATATGAATCATTCTTGATAACTATTAAAAGCGATGGCTGAAATTGCATGCTATTCTTTAGGCTCAACATTCACGGTTGAGTTTTTGTTAACGCCAACCTCATATCCTTCTCAGCATTTAATTTATTTATTTCTTTGTTTTGTTTTTAATTGGAGAAGTGTTGAAAATCTATTCTCGCAAAGATATGTAGACACAAAAGGAATTGAAACTCAAAAGGCAATCGATTCACGTTTGGGTATAAATGGTACATACTACACCAAAATTGTTTGAGCAGTTTTTCATTTAATACGATTAGATACGCGGAATCATTCCGCAATTTTAAGAATTCTTTTTGTAATTCAACGGGAATGCTGGCAACATCAAGGGAAGCAGAGAATGGTTCACGAGACAATGAGGATTCTTCTTCTTTCAGCTCAGGGAAAATAACGCCGCAGTTCGTTTTCAAGAAATTCAAGATGCACAGAATCCTCTTTCCAAATTTTATTTATGTCACAATCAGAAACATCTACCACACTGCAGAGTTTCTCAAACATGGCAATATTTCCAATACGTATTTTTCTTTGCCAAATTTGAAGTTTTGATAAACTTGCCAAGAGATTATCATGAAAAGAGATAATATTCGTTCATTTCCCATGAAGCTTCAAGTTAAGCTTATGTTGATGTTCGAATATATCTGCTAGGTATGCTACTCTCTCCAACCACTCTTTGTCGTTAATGAATATCAATATGTCTTGTTTCCTTTGTACTACCAAGAACAACTTGATTTCATATGTCAATTCAAAAACACGATTCACAATTCCTATTGACAGTAAGCTTACTATAGTGTATAACCTCGTGATCTTTATTCATGTCTTTGCACAGTTCTTGAAACAGACGGGTGTTTAGGGCTCCAGATTAAAAAAAAAATTACGACTTTTATTAGCAATGGAGTTGGAAGAGTCTTGCTGGCGAGGGCATACTGGTGAATCATGCAGTGGATTCCCCTTCATTAGGGAGCTAACTCTTTTACTTTTTTTCTGAAAGCCTTATTTTGACCCAAACATGACGCACCATCCGTACAAACCCTGCAGCTGTTTTCTCATTTTAATCATCCAGTTTTAAAAAAAACGTATTTATTTTCTTCATTATATCTTCACAAAATAGCAACTCTTCTTTGCTATCATCTGAATGAATATATTTCTCAGACAAGCAACTGCGAACACGAACTCACGTGTGTTGATTCATCAACTTGAAAATCAAAAATCGATGAAATTTGATTTTATTCAAAATTTCTTTTTTTTACATCTACGGACATGTCTGCTAAATGCCGCTTTATAGCATTATTAGACAGAGATATTTGTTGAATTTTTACTGCACTGGAATCACTAAGAATGAATTTCACCATCTACAACATGCACGGTTCGATGAGATTTTCTCAAATTGTGTGAGTTGTTTTTTTGCGTGGCAATTTCTAATGCGACTTCATATGATGCTTGCACTAATGATGTGTTTCTTTGAAGAAAACTTCCTGTTCGATCAAGTCTCTGACGTTTGCCACTTGCTTCATGTCGACGAGAGAACTCCATATCTTTTTTTGTGTTCCGAATGACGTCTCAAAATGACGTTTTAGTTTAGAAGGTTTCATAGACTCATGGCTGAGAACAACAGTACACATTGTTTCTTCTCTATTCCATTTCCAGTGATTTTAATAAAGCCGAATTTCAGATATGTTTCTAAATATATATCTGTTTTTTTCATTGCTAGGGTTTAGTCTACCAGTTGGCGAACCCCCAGAAAGCCCCATGCGACCATCCTGGGGGTCGCGACCCCAAGTTTGGGAACCCATGCTCTAGATGATTGTGTAAAAATGAAACTATATACGAAACTATATATTGTTAAATATAACGTTTTATAATTACGTAGACACTTGTGTAGTGTTCAAGTACCCCATCAGTAAGATAACATTCTACTACCTGCAATATTCAAGATACGATATTATAATAGAAATACAATGTTTTATTTTTACTATGATCTGCCTAACTAAGTAAAGACCATTACGACGAATCGCGTTAATTCATAGTCGCAATTCAAAATTGAAAAAGTCTGGAAGTTTATAAGGGATTATAACATATCGATTTTCTATAAATTAAAAATAAAACATTGCTTTAAGGGGTCGTCCATAAATGACGTCCCACTCGAACGGGGAGTAGGGGTCCGTAACTTTGTGACGGTGTGTGATGAGGGGGGGGGGTCAGATGGTGTGACGTCAAACTTTTGCATTATAAAACAGCAATGTTAGAAAACGAGTTTTAGCCGTTATTTGGCGTTTTAGAAAACTGATTTAATAAATTTTAATACGAATTGATTAAAATACTCTATGTTGACATAATTCAGACTTTATTTTTGAAACGTATCGTATTTTAAGAAAAATTCAACTGCAATTTTGAGGGGGGTTGTAGGCTAAGGTGTGACCTCATTTTAGGGGGTGGGGGTCTGGCATTTTGTGATGATGTGTGACGAAGGGTAGGGGGGAGGTTAAAAAAAAAGCGTGAAGTAATTAAAGGATGACCCCTAAATAGAAATAATATATGCACATTAATTATTATTAATTTAAAATATGTTTTACTTGATTCAGCGGGTGTACTAATAACGCAAGCTGAAATCTGAGTGAACGGGAAATATGGAGCACAATATGTTGACAAGAAATGCTCAGTTATGTTTGAGAAACATTACGAATGAATATCATGAAGATAAAATAATAAGTTTAAGCCACTTTATACAATCCGTTTAATATACAGTTTGGCTGACTATAAAATTACGTACTTTACAGTTTTTTAAAACCTGACTCTTTTTTAATAAAAAAGTCTTTAGTAAAAATTCACACATTTGAATACATCAGTAGACGCCTACGGAGTCCTACCGAAACCACTGGAGCATAGCGAACTTTAAATGAAACCAGCTAGCTGTTAAACGCAATCAACCATGAAAGGACGCATGAACTCATTAGTTCAGCAATATGAAGACAAAAACGAAAATAATTTCAGGATTGGCTGAAAAGATGCAC